ATATGACCATAATAGGCATAAACTAACCTGAATGTTTATGTATAACATTAAGGTTCTGACCTATAACAGCATATCCCATTCATTCATGGTTTTGTTTTTTTTTTTCATTTAATGATTTTGTGTTAACCCCTACAATAGCTAGTAAAATGCCAGCAGTCAAATGACAGTGTAGTTTCTCTTGACTCAGAGTAAGGTAACTGGGTTAGATAAACATTCCTTCCTACATATGACCCTGCTGGTGCCATTTATAAACAGACTTTAACAACGGACTGGATGGAGTCAGATTAAACTGGCTGTCAGTAACTCTCCCCTAGGTATGAGGAACTGCACTGACGAGAGCTCAGGATCTGGCATGTCCACCTTTAGTCTTTGGATTTTTATGTGGGAATAGCCAGCATAGCAAGGGTAGAAGGACACATTAACATACATTGCTGATGGGATTCTAAATTTGCAATATTTGAGGGGAAAGCAATTTTCATAAAAACTTTCTTTAAAAATGCTCATGTCCCCCTCAAGTTTTGAGGGAATCCATCCTAAGAAGGAAAAAAAAATACATACATGGCAAAAACCTATATACATAGATATTTGAGGTAAGATTCCTTTTAAATAGTGAACATTGGAAAGGTCCAAATATCCAGCTGTGGGATGAGTAATTTACTAGCTGAGTACTTTTATTTGGTTGAATATTATAATAAAATTATTTCAGAAAATTTAATTTATATGAAATGTTCATAGTTGTATATATTTTTAAGGGCAAAATTGGGGCAAAAAATTGTATAACTAGTGTATTTTGCTGGAAAAGAACAACATGTAAAGAAAAAAAGAAACATTAACGGTTGCATTTGGGTTTTGGTATTTTAATTTTTTCCCTTCTCCACATTTTTCTATAATTGCTGTGCCTAATTCTTCAACATCCAAGATCCCCCTACTTCTTTTTACCTTTTCTAAAATCCTTAAGTGTTTCAGTGTGGAACTTTTAGATTAATCACAAATCTGGGTCTGGGACAGAGTAGGAATGGATTTGGGTGCAAGGAACTGTGTCGTGGTGAGGGCAGGGGTATAATTTTCTGGGCTTTTCTGATCTGAAGCTTAAAATAAGACCTTGGATAAATCAGATTTTCATTCCAGTAAGTGGACATGTGTTGCAATAATAGTTAAACTTTGCCTGTTTTGTTTCTTGTGCAGACACCCTGTACCATAACCATGAGGCTCAATGCCCATTGTCCTGTTCCTATACTCTCTGTAGAGTTGTCAGGTTCAGGAGGACTAACTCCCCTTTGAAAACACAGTCCCTGTCACCCAAGGGAGAATACTCCTTGAAACAAGCGATATTCAGAACATGGTTGTTTTGTGATCTCGTTTCTTATGTGGGAATGGTGTGTGGTCTCATGAGTAACAGCACACACCCCTGCCGCTGCTTATCTTCATCACGGAATTACACTGAACTTTGTGGGTTTTGGCCTTATTCTTCTCTGGCATCTCTTTTCTAACTCCCAGATTTCTTAATCAGCCTAGTGAATGTGTAGAGCACTTGGTTATAGAGGTATTATTTATATCAGATTTGCTCTTACCCCTGGAAAGAAGGGATGCTATTTTAGGCAATCAGGCCAGACTCCCAACATTTCAGATTTAGGTTGATCCCTTTTGCTTTCCATGTAATCAAAAGCGGTCCCTGAAAAAGTATTTCCTGCATATATATTTACAGATATGTGGAAACATTTTCTGGCATAGCCCTGGTTCAAGTTTTAGTTTTGTTTTTCAAGGAAGATTTAAGTTTTATGCTTTTTTTGGATTCATAGATTTTCTTAGGTGCCAAGATACATTATAGTAGAATTGCATTCTGATTTAACAAATGTGTATTGAGCACTAGTTAAATTAAGTAATGTTCTATTTTTCCAGAATTAAAAGATTACTAGACATAAAACCTTTCCTCAGGCAGCTCAGCATACACATACACACAACCATAGACACACAGTGTGGTAAGTGCCGCACACATACAACTTCGTGGATTAGCATAGAAGAGAATGAACAACTCTGGGGCAGTGGAAGGAAAGACTCACCTCCATTCATATAGGAGAAAAGAGCACAGGGCCACATAAGGCCCGAAGGCAGGAGATAATGCAGCATATCCAAAGTGACATGCAGTTGGTGATCACTTGGAATTTAGTGTGCGATGGGAAGAAGTGTGGGGGTGTGGAATTAGGGACATGAACCTGGACAGATAGGTAGGGTCAGATTACAAAAGCAGCAGTGTGCCATACTTAGGAGTTTGGTCTTTATTACGAAGGCCGGAGGGATCATTGCAAGTGCACAAGTAAGGAGTGAAAGGATCAGTTTTTGTTTTAGAAGTAGCATTCTAGCTGTAGTGTGGCAAATGTACTGAACTGGGGAACAGAGAGGAAAGGAATTTATGGCAGTAATGGGACAGGCAAAAGATCGTGGGGACTAAACAGGATTTGGCAGAGAAGGAAAGCTGATGACGGAGACCAGAGAGGATTTGGCGAGTGGCGGAATGAACGTCAGGGGCCTAGGTGGGCATGAGGGTGACTTTAAGGTGTGAGGAAGTGAAGTCATAAATTCCTAAAGAAGTTTTTGGGGAGGGGAAGAGGAAAAATAGTTTTGAACATAATGGTTTTAAGCTGCCATGTAATGCTATAATTAGAAATAAAGAAAAAAATGAGAGTTGAATCCAACATTTATTTAAGCAGAGCATATACGCGAAGTGTGGGCCTTCTTTAGAGTAAACATTAAGGAGAAGTACCAAAGTAGTGCTTAATGACCACTTCAGGATTATTTTCTTGCTATTGGAGGACATTCTAAGCGCATGTGCAATAACTTGAGATAGATGTAAATATCGGTGTGATAGCTTCTCTCCTTGTCTGACAGAACAAATTCAGAATATGTGCAACATTCCTACCAAAATTGACATCATATTCCACCTCCAGCTTTTAGGATATTCTTGGACATAAACTTGAACTCTATCATCTAGTTAAACAGGTTTTAAATGTTATGGTTTTGATTATTTCAGTTGTACTTATGAAAATGAAACACTTTTAAAACCTTGCTAATAAGGCATCTTAATGTTTCATGCACTACTGACACCACTAACACCCTGAGTTAAACAGAAGAACAATGATGCAATGTTTTTATTCTCTGTTAGTGAGCAGGAAGTCACTCTGCCTTACGTAGCTTTCTTGTTGAGCAGATTCTCTCTAGGAGCAGTAGACTGCAGCAGTGACGGCCATGGTTTCTCAGTGAATCCTTATTCTCATAGTGGCTCTTTTCCTATTTGGTAATTCAGATTATAAAATAAAATTACATGTGTGTATGATGTAGGCCCTCAATAAATGATATTGTTTATCTTGAAATCTTACTTAAATCTTGATCTCTTAAATCTTAAACCTCTAAGCCACTTGACTATTTAGCTTTTTTCCTATTAATGATTTACTGCAGAATTTACTTAGGGAGGGATATGTAATTGAAAACTAAAATTTTAACCTTACTGATTATGGATTTCACTGCCATATCCCTCACCCTTTCTCCCCATCCTTCCCAGTTTTTTGTCTCAGCTTTCTACCCTGGTGATCTGGAATCTACTCATATTCAAGTAGTTGTGGATTTCCTGATAAGGGACAGTGTGCAAAATGGTGGGGGTTTTCCCCATTGGTATGTTCTTAGCCATCTCTGTGAACTCAGATTAAGCTGAACACCATAAATGTGTTTATGATCTTGCCTGTTGGCAAAATCATGAGGTGAAAATGAAAGTCTTTAAGGTAACATTTTTTCATGTCTCACTGGGGTTGTTACGGGAATGGAATGGTTAGATGTGCCACAGAGAGAATGAAGGAGCCGGGAGGAACTTTGTCAGTTAAACAATTAAAATATTTCCTAGCCACATGTTAGTGTTAGCCTGTTCCTAAGTGCCACATGGAGCCTAAGGGTGGAAGCACAAAATGCAAAAAAAAAAGAAAAGGAAAAAAAAAAAAGACATGCACTAAGCACTAAAAAACTAGGGTACACTGGCTAGACCACAGTTATTGTGTAGATTAAATCAGTTTAACCAAGGCTCAAATAAGCCCATCTTCTGTTTATTCAATATGAAGGTTTCTTAACATTCTATATTGTATGTATTATGTAATTGAATTGTTTAAGATACATTAGTGAAAATGACTATTTAATGGTAATCTTTGATGAGTATTTTGGTAAAGAGAATTAACCATTCTTGGGCCCATCAGTTTATTAGAATTTTACTTTTCACTTTGAACTTGACTTTCATAAGAAACAAGACCAATGTAAAGAGATTTTTGTTATGTGAATGTTTTGGTATTAAGTATTTCAAATAAAAAAATTAAACAATTACTAATTGAGACAAACTGGATTTTCGTTTGCTATCTCATTTTCTACATCATTTAGATGGGTTATTTCTAAGTGGTGAAGAATTAAGAATTTATCACTTATACATACACTGGGTTTTCAATTTCAATTTTTCATTTCTTACTAGTTTTAGTTTGCTTTTGATTTTCTAAGTCATTTTAAAGAACTTGCCAAAGATAGAATTTATAAGGTGTTTGGCGATTTGTATGTAGAAATTTAAATATAGTACAAAAATATTAAATGTCACTTAATTTGTATTGGCCTAAATTATCTTGACTAAAGCCGTTCAGTCACATAATTCCAAATGCTTTTTCCCAACTTTAAAGTTTGATGCTATTTATTGAAGGAACTTACGTGCCACTGCTAAATCTTGTATCTACTAGAAAAAATTTAAATCGGACATTACATAATTAAAGTGAAAAGGAAAATATATAAAGATTAACATATTTAAGTTTTGATACTTCTTTTGTTTAAAATCACCTTTGACCTTAGCTAACAGCCTGGGATTTCATTTGAGTGGAACATGGTTTTAAAAGATTATAAAGATTATAGAGGTCTTTCATTTGTGTTGTATAACATGTTGCCACTAGGAGAATAAATTCTTATACCTTTTCTTTTGCTTTTAGGATTTTCTCATTCAGCGTTTACCTTTGGTATAGAAAGCCATATCAGTCAATCAAACATAAACGGTGCCCTTGTCCCACCTGCTGCATTGATTTCCATCATCCAGAAAGGTCTACAGTATGTAGAGGCAGAAGTTAGTATTAATGAGGTAAGGAAGACTTATTTCAAGTATTAATTCTGACTCTTAAATATGTCTTTATCTGATGTTTGCTCATTAATGACCTGGCTTCAGCTTTCCCTGGTTGACAGAATCTAAGGGCGTTATTTCTAATGTAGCAGTCAGGTCGCACAGGCGAGGCGTGTTGGCTCTCAGCTGTCAGGACCATCAACTGTGGCTTGTTTCCCTTTATATGGTTTTGTAAGTAAACAGAAGTCGTTTTCTTTGAAACAACAGCATTGTGCTGTGGAATGCTAAGACCATAATCGATGGTCTGAAAAGTCAGAGAATCTCAGATTATTTGGTTATACCTGATTTTGGAAGGCTATAATTGAAGCTAATTCTTCATATTATTGCCTATTTAAGGCCTATATATAGGTAGTTTAACTCAGATGTCAGCCAACTATGACCCAATAACCAAATCCTGCCTGCTGCTTGTTTTTGTAAAGTTTGATTGGAACACAGCCATGCTCATTCATTTATGTATTGTCTGGCAAATTTTGTGCTACAGTGGCAGAAATGAGTAGTTGTGACAGAGACCTTACGGTCTGTAAAGCCTAAAATATTTACTATCTGGTCTTCATGTAAAAAGTTTGTAAGCCCTGCTCTAGCTGAAAATATGGTCAGGATTTATGATATGGGGAGCTTTTACCCTATTTTCATTTTAGAGATTAACATGTTCCCCTTTCCTTTCACATACATTTTTAAAACTGAAGCACCCATGGTTTCTATATCAGTATTTATTACTATAATTATATAGCATACTAAAATTGATTTTATTACCTTTGTTTCCTCATCTCTGTAACTGAAAAATCCACTAATACTAACTTAAATGTGTCTTCACTGTCATTTAGCACTTTACCTCCCAAAGTATCCTTTATTGCAGAGGGTGCTAAAGATTTTCTACCAGTGGCTAGAGATGAAGTCTCCTTTTACCTGAGAAACTTTTTGTAGATTTAATATAGTACTCCACAATGTATCTGTGTTGTTTTTTAATATTTTGAAGTTACTTATAAATTAAAATACTTTCTCCTACTCCTCAAACACTCTATTACAATTGATAGTTTAGAAAGATCTGTGTTTTTGTAGCTCAAAGCACTGTTAGGCGTCAGGAGTGCATGGTCATCAGCTTAAGTGAGCCAGGCTTCACGGGCGCGTGTTGTTAGCTCATTTGCACTGTTTCTAATGTGCTCTGTGTTTGTCTCTTCTTGTACTTGCTGGAGAACTTTTTATTGTGAACTTCCTAGTATAAATAAGAGCTTTGGAAAATTATAGTAAGTCCATAAAATTAAAGAGCAAGTAGCCCATGAGTTAAGATGGTGCTTCTCAAATGTTACTGCATATAAGACTCCCCCAGAGAACTTAAAACACGGATTCCTAAGCCCTTCAAAGATTTTGATTTTGTAAGGTTGAGTTTCCATTTCTCATGAATTACCAGGTGATGGTGGTCCTTGGGTCACACTTTGAATAGCCCTGGTTAAGAGATTCCAGCTGCCATTGCTGGCTGTGTAACTTCAGCAAGCCTGTCAGCCTGATGGTGCTTGCATTTTTTTTTTTTTAAGATTTTTATTGGGGAATTGGGGGGATGGGAACAGCACTGGGGAATTGGGGGAAGGGGAACAGACAAGTCCCTGTCCCCTTGCTCTTCAGTCTAGCTGTGGAGGACGTTGCTTCACTGGCCCAAGCTGGCACCATCATTGCGCTCTTCCCGAGTGAGGCAGATCAGTCGTCGGCTTCTGGATGGCCTCTCACGGCAGCTTGAGGGCCGCTCACGCTGGCAACATTAGTAAAATGAGATGTTGTACGGCATAGTATCTGAAGTCCATTTCTGTTTTAATATTTTAATCAAATTACAAGAAAATTTTGAGTCCACCAAAGCTATTTTAGAAGTTTTTAGTTGTTGTTGTTTTAAAGATTTTATTGGGGAATTGGAGGAGGGGAACAGCATTGGGGAATTGGGGAAGGGGAACAGACAAGTTGCTGTCCTTTTGTTCTTCAGTCTAGTTGTGGAGGACGTTGCTTCACTGGCCCATGTTGGTATTATCATTGCGCTCTTCCCGGGTGAGGCAGTCAGTTGCCGGCCATTGGACGACCGCTCACGGCAGCTTCTGCCAGCTGCCAGCTGCTCTCAGTAACTTACGGCAGCCCGCTGCAGCCTACGTCGTCACCGGCGACTCACGGCAGCCCAGCTCCAGGTCGAGCTGTTGTTCAGCATCTTAGCTGTGGAGGGCAGTGTCACTGGCCTGTGTGGGATCCGAACCGGGGCCTTGCTGCTCAGAGCTCGCGCTCCTAAGCCAACTCTTAACCAACGCACCACACGGCCGGCCCAGAAGTTTTTAGTTTTAAATAAATATTTACTATAACATGGCACCAAATCTCTTATCATTGTATGAATAATTTCATATTGGTCATTGCTTTTGACTAACAATTTTGGAATATAATTAACAAACCTTTTTATCATCTAGGCTTATTATTCCTTTCAATAGTTCAGCTGTATCTGTGTAACAATAAGAACTAGGTGAGGAGGAAAAATTAAACAGCTATTTGCAATTGCTCCTTGAAGTTCCCTTCTTCCCTTTGACTCCTTTCCTTTTTACATGCATTTAGAAAATTATCTAAAAGTGTTTTTTTTTTTAATGAAGCTAATTATTTCTGCTATTGACTTGTTTGAATACGAATTGCCCTAAATGTGTTACCTTTGATTTTTCCTCTCACAATTTCCCAAATCCAGGATGGTACCTTGTTTGATGGTCGACCAATAGAGTCCCTGTCACTGATAGACGCCGTAATGCCTGATGTAGTACAAACAAGACAACAAGCTTACAGAGATAAGCTTGCCCAGCAACAAGCAGCAGCTGCTGCAGCTGCTGCAGCTGCCACAAACCAACAAGGATCTGCAAAAAATGGAGAGAACACAGCAAATGGGGAGGAGAATGGAGCACATACTATAGCAAGTGAGCCGAGATAGAATTTTTACAAATTCCTTTTCAGAAGAAATATTTTGCTTTATGGGGATGTCGCATCTTCCAGGATGAAATAACATAATCTATATCATTTATGCCAACTAGTCCCCCTAACTTGTATACACAATTCAGATTTTTATTCCTAAAGCTCCAAAAAGCTAGATTTACTTTCATGAATTTTCTTTTCTTTTTTTAAATACATAGAAACCATTTTTCTACGGTTAAATGAATTCTGTATCTGCATTTGATTTCTAAATAAAATTTGTAATAGTAGTCATTAACAAATACAATAAGGCTCTGACATAGAAATATAAAGGCAACTCTCATGTTATATGAATGATATCAGCAACCCCTACTGGCAGAAACTCAGAATAGTATTGGCATGGATGTATTTAATTCAAACCATTTTTTTATTATTTTAGTCATGTTTGGGTCTAACTTTTTGCATTCTTTCCCTACCCTTACCCTCACCTCTGAACATACTCATATACATACATCTTTTTAAAATAATATGGTCATACTTAACTAAAGATAGGGATTTATTTTCCATGTGTTAAGTACTGTATAGTCATTTTTACCATTACCTGACATAGTAAAAAAAAAAAATGTTGCATTATGTATTATAAAGGAGATAGTTGCTCGTTAAGAACCTCCCCCTCCCTCCCATGTTGAAATATTACCTAACTGGAATTTTCCACTTGTTTCATGTGACGCAGATAATCATACTGATATGATGGAAGTGGATGGGGATGTTGAAATCCCTCCTAATAAGGCAGTCGTGTTACGGGGCCACGAATCTGAAGTTTTCATCTGTGCCTGGAATCCTGTTAGTGATCTCTTGGCATCAGGGTATGTTTCTCAAAGTGAAACTAAGATGGATTTTAAAAGAATCTTACCACATTATTATTACATTTTATAAATATATTACTCACATTTTTAAATTTCTGTTGCTTGTTGTCATTTTGCCTCTGTAAATCTTTATTTCTCATAAAGTAATCTTAGATGGTCTCATTAAACTTACTTCAGGAGTGCTTGGGGCTCTCAAAATGGAGACAGAAATACAAGAAGTGGAAATTCTTGATAGCCTTTTTTAATTTACCTTATTAATATTAGGATGTAAAACAATTTTATTATTTTTTTAATTTTGGGATTCTTGAGAATATTATGAAGATTTAAAATATATTGCGTACTATAGGTCTGGAGACTCTACAGCAAGAATATGGAATCTTAGCGAAAATAGCACTAGTGGCTCAACACAGTTAGTGCTTAGACATTGTATACGAGAAGGAGGACAAGATGTCCCAAGCAACAAGGACGTGACATCTCTAGATTGGAATGTGAGTATCCCTATATTGTCCATGATGGATGTAGTTACTAATCTACTTAATCTGTCTGAGACTCAGACTAATGGCAGGGTTTGTTGTTTTGTTCAGCTAGTTTTGGATTTTACCAACTAATAAGAACAATAAACTAGAGATCCTCGTTCCCAGATGTGGTGTTAGAAACAAAAACGGGCCCTTGAGCAGTTAAGCCAAGGTTCCCCTTCCACCTCCTCAGTTTATCCAGTGGCAGAACCTTTGTAACCCTGGTGGTTACCCACTGCGTGTCTCATGTTCCTCACATGGACAGTAAGCGTGTGATAATGGTACCTACGTAAATGAGGTAATAGATGAAAACCAGTAACAGGCACATACTAATCCTTAACTACCAAGTCCTTTGTTGAGGGATAAGAGAAATCTATGTAAGAAGAACATATTCTTGTTTTTCTTATTTTGCTGTGAAGTGATGAAAACTGCCTATTAGGGACCATTAGCAAGCTTTATTCTCGCTATAGTAATCTTATAATTCTCTGATTCAATGTATGATTTAACATTTTTCAGGGATAACTTGATTACTCTGATCAGAAAGTTTGATTTTATTGTTGATAAAGTTTTACCCTTTCAGTTTCAAATACGTGATTAACAGCCTAGTTTGTTTATTTCCATTCCTATGATTAATTTGTGGAAAATTAACATTTTTAAAGTTCCTATATATTTTCCTTTGTTCCATGTTGCCTTTTTCTTTTCTTATAACTTTGCACCCACTTTTTACCTGCCCTCAGAAACTTCTTAAACTATTTCAGTGTTACCAAGAATTTTAGGGGTTAGCTGTCCTTTACTCAGCAAGTAAACATCCTTTCCTCCTCTGGCTTCTGTTTTACCACTTTTTGTGGGGCTTTCAATGGGTCTTCTAAATGTCATTCCTTGGTGAATGTCAAGTATCTGCCGTAAATGTGAAATATTCTAATAACAGTTAAATGCCCTTTCTGGATTATATAATTGAAAGAAATGTGTTTCTCTGACAGAGTGAAGGTACACTTCTAGCAACTGGTTCATACGATGGGTTTGCCAGAATATGGACTAAAGATGGTAAATAAAGCATTATTCTTTTCATTTGTTGTTGTTGGTCTATGTTGCAAAGCTTGAAATAATTTTAATGTTTTCTTTTTTGAATATTAGGTAACCTTGCCAGCACCTTGGGGCAGCATAAAGGCCCTATATTTGCATTAAAATGGAATAAGAAAGGAAATTTCATCCTAAGTGCTGGAGTAGACAAGGTAAAAGAACATTAAACTAAATCCTATAAAGGTTAATGTGTTAAAGAATATAACTGGAGAGTAATATATTCTCTGCTAATCACATAAACAATAAAACATTCATACTTGGGGAATTCAGGTATGAATTTATGATGGTAATACAAACGCTCCCTTAGATGTTCTGTCAGCTCATGGCTGAACGGACTTACCAGAATGCCTTTTACTTTTTATCTGTGTGACCACACTCCTCATTCTTGCTGGAATTTGAGCCATAATGAATGTCATACTTCCCATACTCTTTGCTTCCCTTCTACAGTTTCTAGTTTATCTCATCAGTGAATATGGCTCTGGAGTGATTCCGTGGGAAATCTTAGAGCCAGTCTGTTATCTGAACTCCTGGTGCTTAAAATGAAAATGTAACAAAACGCAGCATCTTTCCAGCTTTTTTCACCGAATTAAGCTGGAAAATATGCATAGGTTGAAAATATGGCCTTTTCCCCCATTCACTTTCTTAGGTCATCCTCTTTACCACACCTCCCAAAAGGAGTATGGGTTTTAGGATTATTTGAATCTAGGAAAATACATGCTCCTAGGTAACTGGGTGCATTGTCAGAAGTACAGAGAAAAAAGGGAAGAAAAGTGAAGGAGGCCAGGAGTGGGAGGGGAGAGCCTTGTCACTGTGCAATACTTCACATCCCCAAAGTTAAAAAATTTGTGATGGGAGGGCACTAAAACGAATGGTGAATATATCCATTCATATTTAGATGTCATACTTGGATGTAATGTAAAAGACATTGTTTTAAATATCATCAAAATTCAAGCTGACTTTATATATTAATGTGAGTTTTAAAAATCTTAATATTGAGAATTAGCTAGTTATTTTGTTAACCAAGACTTTTCTCTCCTTATAGCCAAACAGTATAACGATCTTACATTAAGTACACTATTGAAATGGAGTTTCTTAACCAATCTAACATAACGTCTGGTACATTGTATTGGGTTGTCAGAAAAGCCATTACGCATGTTTGCAACAGATGGCACTAGTCCATTCTTGGAAGT